ATCGACACAAACACCATTCTGTTTCCAAGGAAATAGGCCCCAGATTTACCAACATCACAGAATAGCGTGAAAATAACTATGCCCACGCCATGGCTCCACATTTTTTGGATGGTAAAAACCATCCGGAAGGAGCCCCCCAGTTATTTTAGCTGCTTTAGTTTCCCCGTCCAACTAGCTATTATGAATCCAACATAATCAGGTAATTATGTTAATTAACTAATTGAGCAGGGTTCAAGACGGGTCTGTCATTTCAGCATACTCACATGATCCTTTCGCAACCCCTTCTGTGATGCTTTCGCGACCACACTCCCAGCTTTCGCGCGGTCAACATTCACACGATGTGCATTCGCCGAGTTTCGCCGTATTTAGTTGCACGTAATCTGAATACAATAAAGGCTGAACATGCTGAACATTTTGGAATTGCGCAAAGCTTTCGCGACGGTGTCTGTCAACTTGGCTGTCGCGAAGCTTGCGCCCTGCTTGGGTGAGTTGGGTTTTAGCTCTTCGCAAGTATTGTACTGTTTAGGAACTAAGGACGCCTGTGCCCTCTGTACATAACTATACTCAATTGCCTAATTATCAGTTGGGCGTTGCCGGTATATTATGGACTACCATATATTAGCATTATTATCATGGCCTGGCCATGCCAATATATCTCAAGATCTAGCAAAATATCATAATTCATATCCCTTAAACTTGGATGAACATGATGGAACCCTCTTGAAAGACTGCATTTTCCATAGGTTTTCATCCATTTTCCATCCATTTGCCATAGGTTTTCCATGGGTTTTTCCCTCTCAACGTTCCCAAACTCTCGCCCCTGCGGCGCACCGAAGGGGTCCAGGTTGTCACGCAGGTTCCCGGCGAAAAGGAAGGGATCCTGCGGGATGATGGACCTTGGTTTACCATGGCAGTCCGACGCACAGAACACGTCGAACCCCCGTTCTGAATTCTTTGAAACACCATGAAACACCTGTTGGAACTGGACTTGGAACTTGATAATCTGTTTTTTTTAAAGAGGGCGAAATTGAACAATGTCAACATGGAATCTGAGCATGGCCATGTGTCCAACAGCAAAGTCAGTCATTGCTGCAGTTTTCCAACACATATTTAGGAGTAGGTGAACATTATACTATTATACTGATGGGGTGTCGAACTTTGTATACCCCAAAATCAACTTTAAGCCGCGACCTTGGGGAGCGAAATTCAATTTTCAGAGACACCCAGATGAACAATACCGCATGTTTGCTTGGAATCCTTGCGGAAATCTCCACGTCATTTCAAATGTAGCAACCAAAGAATAATCGAAGAAAGGTCATGAAAGTAGGAAGCCACCAGAACCAATTTGCCCATTAATTGTATGTCTTGGGATTCGACCGCAGCTTGGTTGCCAAGCTCCTAGAGTCTCCTTGTTTCAAACATTGCAATTTATGGAGATGTGATGAGATGTGTATGCCCTCCGCCTGATTGTATCTGGGCAATTTTCTTTGGGATGACACACCTCCGAAGTAGAAACTTTTCAGTGAGGTCGTTCGTTTTAAAACTGCTCCCAGATTGTCTATCATATGTTCCGGAAACTTGTTTACTTATGTAATGTGCTGTAAAAAAAATGTATATTATATATATATATATATCTGGTTGATGGTTTCAACCCCTCTGAAAAATATTAGTCAGTTTGGATGATTATTCCCAATATATGGAAACATAAAACATGTTCCAAACCACCAAACAAATATATACTATTATTTTTATAAGCCCCTTGGTTCCCTAAGTCGCGAATACTATGGTAAACCCAATGCCATAAGCCATCCATGGGGTTATCTTACATCATCCCATAGCGGCATGCCTAAATTCAAAAATCTCAATCTTGGGGGGCGGTTTATTCTATACTTATCCCATAAGATTTATTCATGATTTTCCCACTGTTCTCCCACATTAATCCATACAAATATATATATATATACTAATATCCTATTATATATCCCATTGTGGCACTGGCTGAATCCCAGTTTTTTCACTATACCACAATTATCCCATGAGTACGGTATCCCAATTTAAACCATATACTCCCAGCACTGGCTGAATCACCTTTTTTTCTTATCGAAGAAAGTTTAGAAGTCAAACTTCCGACAATATGGACAGATGAAAAGCAGAGATGGGAAGAGTCAGCGAAGAGAAGAGAAGAGAAGAAAGAAGATCAAAAAAGAGAAAGTCTCAGAAGAAGGAAGATCCAGGTGCGCGAAAAGGTAGTGAAGTCGCGAAAAACACTGTGTTTTTCCAATGGTTTGTGGCTCCGGAGGGTCGAAAAGTTGGCTCGCTAAAGGGGCGGGTGCGGAGCCAGCTGGGCAAATGAGAGATGAAAAATTGCACGCCTTTGTGGCGCGAAGCACATTTCCAAGTCAAAAAGCTAAAAACACCTCACGTTCGGAGCACTTTTTGAAGTTGAGATGTCGAAAAAGTGCACGCCATTGCGGCGCGAAGCACAATTGCAAGTGAAAAAGCTAAAAACACCTCAGATTCGGAGCACTTTTGGAAGTTGAGATGTCGAAAAAGTGCACGCCGTTGTGACGTGAAGCACATTTCAAAGTCAAAATGTACAAAACACACCGTTCTTGGACAACTTTTGGAAATTGAGATGTCGGAAAAGTGCGCACCGTTGTGACGCGAAGCACATTTCGCAGTCAACATGTTAAAAACACCAAGGGTTCGGACCACTTTTGGGCGTTCAGATGTCGTTTCGCGTGGCAGGCGCAAGGGATTGTGCACCTTGTCAAAAGTGAGCAAAACGTGAAAGTTTTGTAGCATTTTCAACTACAACCACCACTACACCACACTACACTCCAACACACTACAGTCCAATACACTCCACTACACTACACTCAATTACACTCAATTACACTACACTACGCTACATTCCACTACACTACACTACAGTACACTACACTACACTCCACTACACTACATTACACTACACTACACTCCACTACACTACACTACATTACACTACACTACATTCCACTACACTACAGTACAACTACACTACACCACATTCCACTACACTACACTACACTCCACTACACTCCACTACACTCCACTACGCTCCACTACACTACACTCAATTACACTACACTACACTACATTACACTACACTATACTAACTACAATTACAACAATACTACATTTACACTACCCTGCACTACACTACCCTAGTTACACTACGCTACAACTACACTCCACTACACTACACTGAATGACACTGCACTACACCTACAACTGCAACTACAACGGCAACTGCAACTACACTACATTAAATTACACTACACTAATGACATTACACTACATTACACTACATCACACTAACTATAACTACAACTACACAAGACTACACCACACTACACTAATTACATTACACTACACTGCACTACACTACACCCCACTCCACTACACTACACCTCACTACACTACACTCCACTACACTACAGTACACTACACTCACTTAGACTTATGCTACACTACACTACACTCAATTCACTACACTACACTACACTACAATACACTACACTCATTTACACTACACTACACTACACTACACCACGCGACACTACACTACACAACACAACACCACACCACACTACATCAACTACAACTACAACTGCAACTGCAACTGCAACTACACTACACTAATTGCATTACACTACACTACTCTACATCAACTACAACTACAACTGCAACTGCAACTACAACTACACTACACTAATTGCATTACACTACACTACACTACACTACGCTCTGCACTACAACACATTACACAAAAAAACGCTACGCAACACACTACACAACACACCGCACCACACAACACCACACCACACTACACTCAATTACACTACACTACACTACCCTACCCCACATTGCATTACATTACATTACAGTACACTCATTTCACCACCACAAATGCAACTACAACTACGCTACACTAATTACACTACACCATAACTACAAGTCCTCTACACTACAACTACAACTACAGCTGCACTACACCACACTGCATCCAGCAGTTGTAGGTGAGGTGGCCGGCCAGGTGACCACTGCAACCATTGCAGCCACTCGAAAAAACACAGCTCCAACCACCTTTCAGTCCATCAGTGGATTCGCTCTGCCATCCGTGATTCACAACAACCAATCTCTCCTATAGGTTTCCCATTTTTGGAACTTCCGCCACCGCCTTGTGCGGTACTACTGGTATATTATGAATCCAACTAGTATCCCATTAGAATAGTTCATTATATATATATATATAGTTATCCCATTTTTAGATGATTGGCTGAATCCTAAATATATATATATTTATATTTATATTTATTTATCTGATTACATTATGGCCGAATTATATATCCGATTATTCTCCTATTATTCTCCCATTCTTCCCACATGGATAGATACACCCAACTCCGCTCACTCTGGCGCTGCCAAGAGACACCGCATGGCCGCGCAAAAGTTTCAGCGGCACGTGTGAGATGTCTTGGTCGTCCAGGAGCACGCGGCCTGCGTCGAAGGATGTTATAAACCAGCTTAGCTATCGTTTTCGGGCCCCACTGTGTACAAATAATCTTTATGGATGTTTTTGGTATAGCTATGTTACTATATAATACTATATAGTTATTATGTCTGGAATATGTTTACTGCACTCGTCGGACATTGAACTGAACTTTGCATTGAACTATAGGAAACCTAAAGCTTTGAAGTGTGCCAGCATAACCACTGCAGGGTCTTGCCTGCAGCTCCATACATCCCATAATTAGTTCCGTGCCAGCTGCGAAAGAACCCCCATTTCTGGCCCCGTTTCTGCGCAGCTTGCCATGTCCGGCGACGCAAGTGACTTGGAAATCAGCGAGGAATGATTCTGTGTCGTGAAGGTAAATCAGAGATGAAAGAGGTCAGTGTTTGAGAACGGTATCCAGTCTTTTTTTTCGAACGCAAGTTCATAAGTTCCTGCTGTTTCTGACAATATGTGTTGTTTATGTGGGAGACACGGGCTTCTCTTCAACGGAACGCTCCAGGGGCGTGACTCAGAATCCGTAGAAATCGAAGTCACGGTCTTTCTTTTTGGCCTCAGTGTTCTGAACCCATCCACATTCCAGGCAAGTTGTTTTTCACATCAAACAACAACTGAAGAATTGATGAGTTGCCATGAATTACCTGCTATTCTTCAATGGTTAACATCAACCAACAAAATACATTGGTTGAAGCAGTAATATCAAAGTACAGCTGCTAACATTTCACCAACCATTGCCTAGCAGCAAAATGGCTCTCCGCAATCCCACCCGCCACAAATGGTACAATTGGGATGCAATGATCTTTCGGAGACGGGGGTTTCAAGACAGAAAGAAACGAACAAGTCGAATTTTCAAGAAACAAAGTGGAACCATCATGAATCATCATCATCATCATCACCATCATCATCATCAACATGAAAATCATCAACATGAAAATCATCAACATCCACAATCCACAACCCACATCAGATTTTTATTTTGTTTGCCCAGGGGCATGGTCTTTCCAGCCGGCTTCGAAGTCTTTGGGCAGGATGACGTAACGATTGTGGCGCACAGCTTGCATGCCTGGAGAATCGCCAGTCCAACTCATGGCAGAATCGTCATTTGCTTCAATATGGGATCTATGGGACATATGGTGTATATATCTATGATATGTATGCATTTATATATATATATACATATGTGTGTGGTGTATATATATATATATACATAAAGATGGGATGGCATATATGGGATGGTATATCTGTTGCATTTCTTGGTCAAAACAAGTTTGTTGTTTGCGTATATTGAAGGCGTCACCAGTTCTTCTTGCGGATTTGACACTTGACACAGTTCAAACTGTTGGTCTTGTCCTGGAAGCCCAGGGGTTCACACATGGATTAAGTTTTAAAGCCATTTGGGATAATCTCCAATTAATTTGGGGGTAGCATTTTAGTCTTGACTTTCTTAACTATATCCCCATATTTGGGGTAGCCAGTTCCGACCCAGAGCCGTATAATGAGAATGTCAACCCCGGATTAATAAACCCCTGGGCTGTTTAGTTGGGGGGGTACCATTTCAGTAGCCATCTATCACTGTTTGGGGGAACCACCACAGTTCATCAACCAGGGTTTGTTAATCCGGGGTTGACATTAGCTGCTAGTCATTGTGTTTGGTACTGGATGATGAACTGACCTGCCGTGTTCCAAGTTCAGAATTGCCAGATGTTGCTCCAGCCAGAACCCCAGAAGTCAACAAAAACCTCGACTTCCAAGACGAGACGCCAGCTTCTTGACAAATTGCCGCGATATCAGCGCAACTAATCTTCTCGGGTCGCGACACATAGTCCTCCAGATCAACCTCCTGACAGGCAAAAGACTATCCCAAACGGCCCGCCTGGGCCCGCCCAGTTAGAAGTTGGTTTATCAACCCTGCATTCACGAAATTTAACCAATATAGATATATCATGATACACCTATCATAAGTCATGGCTATAGCACAAACCAACTTAGCTATCTTGGGGAGTCTTGGCAACCACCTTGTAGCTTTAAGCCACCAACAGTTCCACCTCGCTCAGATTCATCTTGGATGTGATGGTCTGGAAGATCAACCGCTTCTGACCTTGGTGCCGAAGATACACTTCGTTGGCCTGAACAATGGACTACACTGGGCCAAACCGCTTCAATATGCCGAGATCATATTTGAATTACCATCTATATGATGGCAATCTGATTCTAATCTTACAAAAAAAACATGATAAATATCCATAAATATCCATAAATTAGAAAATCATCGACAAACCAGCTGAACCACTTGCCTGACCTCCAAAATATTGACAAAATACAATTATAATGGTTTATAATGGGAGTATGGAGATCTAAAATTTGAGAGTATGGCTATGAAAAACAAAATGACCTCTGATTTTTGTCTACTACTATCCCTTAAGCCAGCAGTTTTGCCAAACCCAACAATAAACTACCATTCCAGAGGTCAACATCTATGACCTCTAGTAATCCAACATGGCTTGCTAGCAAATCCAACATTCATAGGTGATTTTCCAAGCTATAAACCTGCATTCGTTCAGGGATCTTCCAAGGTGTTCCTATGATTTTCCCATGGACTTCCAGTTGCCATGCCATCAACGCCTGGCCACGCCGATCCGGCAACGGGAACTCGATCTTCCGGTCCAAGCGCCCTGGACGAAGTAGCGCCGGATCCAGCGTGTCGTGACGATTCCTGGGCGCGGTGTCAAAAGTGCCTGGCAACCTCTCAAATATGTATATATATATGTATATATGCGTGTGTGCGTGGAAACTAATGGGCTTTTTATGGAAATTATATGGAACTTGTATACCAAAAAATAGATATCATGGTTTGGTTAAGGGATATATATATATGTATATGTATGATGGCAAATTATAACTTTGATGGACAATACTAATTATGGAAAATTATATGGAAATACTGGCATCAAATTACAACTTGGTGGTTGGATTCAATGGATTGGTGTAGGGAAAAAATTACAGGAAAACCACCAAATTTAAACCAACCCATTGATAAAAACTTACAGTACTATGGAACTTGATGGGCTTTATATATGGGACCTCATGGTAAGGAATGAACATATATAATGAAACCTCATAGGACTATAGTTGTCCGGCGATATCCACCCCACAAAGGGCCCCTTTGTGGTATCACTTCGATCACGCGTCGTAGCCATGATCACTTTCACCGTGGTATCTTGGTCGAAACCATCCTTAGCGAGTTGGCAGGGTGTTCTTCCGCAGCAAAGGACATCAAGAAGCGACATGAAAATATATGAACATCATGATAACTATCAACTAATAAGAACTATAATTGATAATTATTGATAATAACACTATTGATGGTTATCATTATCTATTATGACATCAATAAAAATTATCCATAGATGCTACTAAGAACTATAATTGATAATTATGATTAATAATATGGAACATAATGATAACTAGATTTTAGATGATATAGGGAATGGTGATATTATATGATATCATTAGTCTTGATCACAAAAAGACTGAAATTATCATATGGAAAATATATACTATATAATATTAACATAATGGTATAACTTATATATACATATATATTCATCCTAAATAATGTTATACGAATACAAATTTCTGTTATTATTATATATATATGTATATACTGTATATATATATATATATATCAGCATGATTTCTTCCTCTCCGGACTGATTCAATGGTAAAAATCATAGAAGATAAACTATAATACTATAATATATAGGTTGATAAGTATAATGTTAATATGATGTATGTATGTATGTATGTATGTATGTATGTATGTATGTATGTATGTATGAAGGTTGTTGCTTAGCCATTTATGTTCTCATGGCGTGTTCAATATCATGAATATAGTCTAAATACTAAATGTATGGAACATGCATTTAATATAATGCATGTATAAGGTGGTGCCCGATAATTAGCTAAGGTGGTTTATAGCTTGTAAATGTCTATAACTCCAATCTCTCTCTCTCTCTCTCCCTCCATCCATCGCTATCAGGTCACCCTGCCCTAGCATCGGCTGTATAACTTCACAATATCTATAGTTATTGGATGTCATTGGGGGTCATAAACCAACTTACAACTGAAGGGGGGGAGGCACCAACTTGTACAATATGGCATATGGATATGAGTCAAAAAGTCAAGTACCTTTTTGTATATGACACTACACAGGTGGCAAGCGGATGTTCATCTCACAAAAATGCGGTCACCATATACAGTAGGTTTTGACGCACAAGAACAAGTTGAACCAAGGATGATGAAAAAAATAATAAATATGTGGTATAAACCGATCCAAAATTAGAGGTTAAAGTTGAACATATATATATAATACATATATACAATTATACATACGTATGTATATATCATTTTATGTGCATATGTTAGTATCATATATTTCAGTAACCAAAAGCAATTGGGTGTTTGAGAATTAAGCACTGCATTCCCAACGTGCTGTCACTTCAGCTTGCCTCTCTTTTTCAGCTCACCTTCGGTGATTCAGTTGCACCCTATAGTTGCACTTCGAAAAGCCAACCCAGAACAACTACTGTCATGTTGGGACTTTTCATGAAAAGCAGCCCAGTCTACAGGCGGATTTAACATGATTAACCATCATCCCATCCGCAAGAATCTGCGATTTTTTCATGATTCTTGGCGAGCATCCATCTGGTTCAACAACTCCAACAAAATTCTCTGCACTTCTCGGTCTGCTCCCGTCTGTGAGTCAAAGCGCTTCGTTCCAATCGCGTCGATCCTGGCGTGGCGTAAGCCGTGGCTTCCTCCTTTAGCTCCATGTCAAAGAATCGCTGGAGTGGATAATCCAAAGGTCTGGACACTCCATTCTTAAAAACACTTAAAAGCATATATATATATTCTTGTGTTAAATTTTCATAAACTAACCACATCATTTGGGATTTTGTACAAAAAATGTGATGCTTACTTTGAGTGTCTTGGGGTATCCAAAGGCCCCCCGTTGAACTCAGCCAAGGAACTCGTCAATGAAGACGATGGAGGGGGCATTCTCACGAGCTAAGCGGAACACGTCCCGGACCATCCTTGGTCCTTCGCCCAGGTACTTCTGAACAAACTCAGAGCCCACCATTCCTTGCACTGGGCCGTTGACAGATGTCAAAATGATTGTTAAGCAACATTGGCACAACAACTGGCACAACAACTGACACCAACTTGCTAGTGACAAAAAAACTTGCAGAACGTTGGTGATGACTCAAATGTACCTTGAGACATGGGGTTGTTCCCATTTCTGGCCTCAAAGATTTTTTTCAGCATCCCACGTCCCTATAAGCCTCAAGCAAAGCCAGCCGAGCTTCGAATGAAGGTGGCCGTGGTCATGTTGGCCACGGCCTTGGCCAACATCGTCTTCCCCGTGCCCGGCGGGCCATAGAGCAGCACACCGCTGGGCGGGTCGATGCCGATCTGCGCGTAGAGTTCCTTGTGCGTCAGCGGCAACTCCACCTGGGCCGGTGGAGGCTTTGGTGCGCCGGAACGGGGATTCACCAAAATATAGCCATGACACACAAGAAACGGGACGGAACAGGTGGCGGATTACTGCAAACGGTGTCAAGAAATAGGAACATAGTTCAAGGGGCCAGGCAGGGACTAGGTACGAAAACATTCCAAGAGATGGATGGAGCAAATTCTGAAACCCTGCGCCCTGCACCTTAAAAGCTCACTTTGTAAAAAGGCCCACTGTGTGGCCGCAAATTCATGGCTTTCTCTGAGGCCATTGGCTTTCAGAAGGACCCATTTCTTTTCAAGACCACCACTAGTGGTTAGTTGCCACGTTTTTTGGGCTATTCATCCAAAGGCACCGCTTCCTTAATCTCCTGCTTCTGAATGTCCTTGGTAAGACGTTTAAGGACCGCTAAGTCTGGCGAAATACTTGCACGCGCAAACATGCTGGGCCGTGGTTGTGCATTGTACATGTATTCCAGATGGTAATAAATAGTTCATAATATCTCCATAATAGCACTACGTATCTCATATAGTGGCTACCATGACAGCTGAATCTTTTTTGATCAGCTCTCGAGCTGGATGCACCCTGGTACTTAATTTCGCTTTTGTGCCTCGAATTCATTGGCGTTTCTCTTTCCATGGTCGTAGTGATCATTGATGTACATTAGAACGCAGTTGTGTATAAACATATATATATATACACTCACATACATATCCAATACATTATATAAATATATACATATCACAATAAAGGAAATCTTTCTCATCATAAGCCATTCTCCATATTCCCTGCCACTTTTCGAGGTTTTTTTCTCCAGGTGGCCATACCACCGATGTCGGCATAGGTCACATCTGGCTTCTCGGACATGGCCTTGCTGGCTGATTTAACCAATGGGGAGGTCATAGGGATAGAGATACAGCAACTATAATGCTATGCAATACAGTTACAAACAAATATAGGTGGTATAGGTGGTTGTGCTTCTTGGTTTTATTACCCATCTAAAATCTCTAAAATCATCTAAGTAAAGTTGTAGTAGTCCTAATGCCCATGAACCATCGAATTTACACGGCTTCTTTTCCCACTTAGCAAACGAACGATGGGACACCACCTTGCACGCGTCAAACATCGGGTACAGCGGATTCACGTAAAATTGCTCATTCTTAGCACAACACCCTGCATGTTGCGGGATTATGCGGGATTTAGACAATTTCTGACCCATATCCACAGCACTACAATGGACCAAGCTACAAAGTAATTTTTCATAATATTTCTATATGTTTCCCTCTCTCTCTCTCTCTCGCAGACTCTAGCACCATCAGCAACTGGATTTTCATTAACAATTGCCAATTGGGAATTTCAATGTATAATTGACCATTATCATGAATTATCACCTGTTTCTAGGATGATTCCCCCAAGCCATTCCCCATCATGATGTCCAGTGAGGTCGCTGTCCAACCAGGGTGAATTCCCAATAAATCCCACAATTCCCCAGGAAAACGGTTTATACATGGTTGACGTTCCACATCTATGTTAGTTTACCCTTTGGTACCATATAAATCATATATAATATGTATATATATATATATATATAATATAAATATATATATATATGGGGAAAAACAGGTAAAATTCCCTTGCAATGTTTTTCATGCTTAACTTATGCTTATCTACCAGTCCTGCATGAGGAGTGCTTGTTTTTGGTCCAAACGAATTCTCGGAGGCTCTTTGGAGCACTAGGAAGTACCATCCCCATGACCATACCCATCTTGAAATGACACTCCCCCTGATGATTTCGCCCCAAGACCGGAGGACTCCATGACACAACTGCAGTTCAGCCGCCATACTCTGCACCGTGCTGTCTGCTTCGGGTGGCAAAATGTCTACCACAGCCTCAGGACGGCACCCGGAGTTGAAGTGCTTCACGGGGATGGCAGTCAATGGCGATGGGTCCAGTCATATGAAACCATCTGGTCACTGGTTCCCTTGAACCAATCCGTTCACCTATGCTGAAGTATTCTTCACATCCTGGAGACCTGAGTAAATTTTGACTATCCCAATATGATCTGGCTTTGTCCCCATGGTTCATGGGAATTCAAAAGGGTTGTATGGAAAATGAATAGAATGTCACCAAGAAACATGAGGATTTAGTCGGGTTCGCCTTATGGTAATCTGTCATGGAAAATGACCACATTCAGTTCAAGGACTTTGATATTCTTCCCGTGCGAATTTTCCATGGCGATGTTAAATTACCCCATGGTAATCATCTTTGTCCACCCATGCTTTGCTCACCACCCCACCCCAAAATAGCAAAATCTGTGTCGATAATTCCAATGATTACTTTTTTCACATGAAACACCGTTGTTTGTTTTATCTTATCCACTATGCACATGAAAATATGTTTATGTAACTATATGTAACTAGTCTAGTCATGTCTAGTCACTACATTCATTTTTAGACGATATGAATTTTGAGGTTTCCAAAAAGCCACAAAAACTGAGCCGGGCGGCATGGGAGTGACGGTGCAAAGCTACCGAGCAGTTGGGTTTCCTGGCTTCATCGCGGGGTCACTATAGGCAGATACCCACAGTGCCACAGGCTACAGCTTAAAAGAGCGCACCCTCCGGTAAATTAACATAGCTCTGCAAAATCACCTTTTTTTATATCATCTGGAAACATCTAGAAACATCGAGAAACTAGAAACAAACCATTTTCATCGATGTTCTATAGCTATGTTAAATTATCGAGTGGGATGATCTCGGATGTGCAAATGATCATCCAAGGAGGGAGTCAGGTGTCATGTGAAACCCTCATCTTGAGGGGCTGGTAGTGGTTGAACACAGATGAGAAAACATTGCCCTTGCGAACACAAGACATTGAACTTGTAATTTCAAGTGGTTAATCGTCTTGGCGATTCCACCATGAGCAACCCCAAACGTGAAAATAAATACATGCATGAATCACAATCAATGGCAAACAAATACAACCAAAATAATAGGCAACACCAAATCGCAATATATGCACATACATAGACATAAGCATACACGTCGTCACATCCAAGGCTTACAGCCAGGTCCAGCAGGTCACGAACACACGAACACGTCGTGACCGACATGACCTCTGCGCCAAGGCGCAAGAGTTCCCGATTTAAGGTGCTCAGGATCCGAACCTAAAGTGCTTGAGCGGCTGTGTCTATGTACTGTAACATGCATTTTAATAGGGATGGATATGGGAAAAGTATGCACCAGTTGATCCAGTGGGGGACCATATCGACAAAACCAAAAGTAAAGTGAATGTACTGGTTTTGGAGAGAAACCTACAGGAAACCATGGTTTTTATACATAAATTCATCGAGGTTTTCTTCAGATGTTCCCTTTAACCCAACTTAAACCACTGTGAATTGAACAAGTTCTGACAAATCATCAGAAGTTCAAGTTCCCTCTCTCAACCATGTACATGTTTGAAATCATCCATTTTTTGTGCCGGACTCTGCCCCGCTTGGATGGTCGGAGCCAGGGCCACATCCCACGGCCACGCGGCCACGCAACGAAGTAGTTGGAGCCCGCTGTGGAAGACACGATGCCGTGACTCTGATCGATCATCTCCGAGAACTGGCCTAGCGTGCGCGTAGCGGCGTAGCGCTTGAGGGCCATCCCGGTAGTGACCAAATTGGAAAAACACGGGGCTGAGTTTATATGGTGTAAAAGTTTATACATATATATATATATATATGGATGATTTATAAATGGTAGATTTTTATATGTGCGACGGTCAAAACTCAATTCATGTGGTGAGGTCATGGCATCGCTTCACAAGGCCCCCTATCGCTACACACAGTCCCAGCACCCTTTTCACCAACTAGGCAGAATTGCTGCTAGAAGAAGAGGATCCAGATGAGGAATCGGATTCTTATTCCTCTTGCGATGGTATCTCCAGGGAAATTCAAACTTTTACGTGATCACCAAGGCTGACGTCGACAGCTTCAGCTAGACACCAGCCGGACTCACTGCAGGTCATCTGACCTCGGAGGCTGCCCTTGGCTTGTGTTGGCTTGTCTTGGCTTGTCTTGCCTGTGCTGCCTTGTTTCCGGCGCCTTTTTTTCTTCACCCCGCCTCCTTTGCAACCTAATACCACGCCAAAATGAATCGGCAAAACCCTGACCAAATGAACCCTTTAAGAACTAACCCAGTAAGAACTTAGGGTGCCCTTGTTCATACTTCCCATATTTTTCCACCTATAGCACAAGTTGTATAGTTTCAAGTGACCATGTGGGGTACTCCCTAATTTCATGGATTTCAGGTATCGCTCTGGGTATCGAGGGGTATCGCTTCGGGCATCGCTACGGTGGCCAGAAAATGTGTGATCTCAGGGGTATGTTTCAAGTGACACGAAATTCTGACAAGCTCCATGTTGCAATTCTACTCCTGGACAGTGGCTTTGGAGAAGTGTCCGTGACCGCACAAGGATGCTGTTTCAACATATCTCAGCACGGTCACTATCTGAATCAACATCATCACCATCACCATCATCATCAGCATCATCACCATCATCAAGTTCATGATGCGTTATGAATTAGTTTCTTGCATACCTTATAGATCAACATACAACAATATATCAACATTGTTTAATGTAACTATCTCATATATACTTGACGACAGGCCATCTTGCAACTACCCAGGAAGACCAGCCCACTGCGACTGCTCCAGTGTCGCACTCTGACATCAAAAGATTGGAAAGTCTGGCGCCCAACAGGAAGGTTCAATCATAAACAAAGTCTAAAAAGAGGTATCGCTACACAAGGCCCCCTATCGCTACACACAGTAAATCACATGTTTTGAGTAGTGATGGCGGATCGTAATTGAAGCCTTTCATAGCGTCTTTTGACCATTGCACATATAGTTTTAAATGGAATGGTATGTTGACATAGTTCACGGGGACACTGGGATACCATTTACCAAGTCCTAATCTATAATCAACTACCCAACATGAACAAGAATCAAGAATTATAGTGGACTCTTAGACTTGCACATTTTCCGCTGGAGACAGTGAATGGTAAGTGGAATAGGTTCGAACGCTTTCACTGAGCGTCCATCTATATTCATTTATTCAATTATATTCAATTCATATTACCTTCGTAGATCAAACCCACTGTTTTGATACTTTGAAGGCTTGATATTTTTAAGGCCGAACAAACAACTGAAGTTCATCAGCTCAGAGCAAACAATGGTACGCCCCGCTCCTGTGGTGGGTTTTTGGGATACATCTACGGAAACCATGGTTTTCATTTCATAACAAATCGGGGGTTCCTATAAAAGGTTCCCTTCAACAAACCCCATGAATCATCATAGTTAGTTGGTGGTTGGAATTCCACTTTTGTTTTCCCTGGAGATCCATCTCTTCGATATTTGTTGCGGCGACCATGGTTTTCGAATGGAATAACGGAAGCCAATTTTTCATACTGGAATCGAATGGGATTGGATCCCAGTCAGGTCTGGCTTAGTTTTGTTGTTTTATTGCACCAATTGCCAGCTCCCCTGAAAGCAATCCAATCGCGCTGGCCTATGACCAAGGGCACCGATTGCACTCGCTTGATTTCCTGGGGGCTCGGCGGTAACTCCACAGCAACGTGGCTGTTGGATTTTTGGCAGTCACCAAAATGTAGCGAAACCATCATCAAATACTGCCGGGTCTTGAAACATACTATGTACATTTGAGATCATTTGTGTAGAACAACATATATAGATATATACGACATATATATTTCTATAATAGAGAGAGAGAGAGAGGAACAAAAAAACATGACCCTGATGCACTGACACACACCTCATATTACGCACAAATAAACAGCATCAAATATAATCGAATATCATCAAATATCATCAAAATATCATCAACATATCACAACCACCACCACCGCCACCACCACCATCATCAGCATCATCATAAGGGCTTTCAGAAATAAACGAACACCAATAAACAGCAACTATCCATCCGCTCCGCTCGTTCATCAGTCCGCTCGTTATATCCAACAATTGACACGTAGTTGTCATTGATTATATACCACATATTAACATATTATGTGTATATAATTGCGTATGTATGTATATATATATATAATATATATATATTATGGATAAATTACAATATTTCACTAACCTGAGGCCAGGCCATTGGGGATGATTCCCCTTACTAACCATGATTCCAGTGAGGTCACGGTGAGGTCACTAGAATCTACCCAGATCATCAAATGTTCTTTCTCTCTTGTCCATGCTCTTGGCAAGCTGCTTCTTGCGCTCGAATCATCTCACGCTTCAAGTTCTTCATCTCGTCCTTGATGTACTCTTCCTGCCGAGATTCCCACGAGTACCGAGGTATTGCCATCCGTTGTGCGTACTGCATGATGAGCTTCGAATTTGGGGAAGCCGGAGAAAAAAAACACATTCCAACGCTATATATGTCCCATGATATCCCTCTTACATCTGCGTATTTGGATAATATACACCCAATATTCCCAAGTGATCCCTAAAATGGGGACTCCCAATGCTCTTGTCAGCGATGGCGGCCCTGCAACGGCCTGAATGTCCAAGAACTCCATTTGGCCTTGGGCGTCGATCAGCCCTTCAAAAATAAATAAGTTGGACAAACACATGCTGAGTGTTTGCTTCAACCCCTCTTACGAAAAAAAAGTAAGTTGGGACCATCATTCCAAGCAGGATTTGAACAAAATAAACATGTTTGAAACCAGCCACCAGCATGATCAACTGGAAGTTGCACACCACAAACAAAAACAATGAGTATCACCGTTCCAACGTCTTTCTGAGAAACAAAGAATCTGTAGGTCATATTTACCCCATAGAACTCCTGGAAGAACCACCCGTTTTCTTAATCAATAGATATTAGTAGAGGGTTCCTATCAAAACCATCTATGCTACAAGTCTGCTGAGGCTCATCAGAGACCTAGATGAATCAAGGTCAATCTGGCCACATGGTCTGAAAGTTGGGTGCCCTCATTTCCAAAGTCGCCTCTGGTCCACAACCGTACCTTCGAAGGATATATTCATCCCTTCTTCCGAAGATAAACAGCCCCTAGAAACCATGGCTGACCTAGAAACGATGGCCTAGTGAATTTAGTAAGTTGAGTTGGGGATTTACAGATATTTGGAACCATTTTTTGAGGGCCAAATATGTGTGTGGGGATGGGATGAGCGTCTGCCAGGCGGCGTTTTAAGTCCTTCAGACGCATGTACAAGTCATCTTCCAGCGAAAGGCCATCACTCTGCACCTCACCGGAGAGTCCCTCAGATTTCCCACATATGGTAAGGGGATGTAGAAAACACATCTCAGTGACCAAGGTATGATAAGATAAGGGAGTGAAACCCAAGTCGTAGCCCAGTCATTTTCATAGTAACTTCTTGGACCATCCGAACGTCACAATCCAAGCGGCCATGGTCACTCCACTCTGCCCCGCAAATTTCACGCTGGGCGAGACTCGAATTTCACTCTTGAGCCCAAGGTGAAGCACGGTGTCTCAGACTGCGGCCATCGGTCAACGTGGTCACCCATGGATGATGGGCCACACAACTTGAAACCACTGAGGCCAACCGTGAAAGGATTTGCTGCTTACGCAAAAACAACATGAATATCATCAATAAAATGAAACACAACACCAACTTAAAAACAACATATGGTTGGTCAATGTTGGTCATAATATATATATATACATACATATATATATATACATATATATATATGTATATCCATATGGAGGTTTCCTAACTTGGGGGGTACCCCCCCAATCATCCGTTTTAATACGATTGTCCATTTTAAACCATCCGTTCCATTTATGGAAACCCCCATGTGAGTGACCAATGTTCTGGCTGGTACTTTCACCCACCTCCAGAGTTCCAGCATGTTCCAGCACTACAGCCACAGCATGGGATGCCCATAGCTCCAAAAAGTGCTCCATGCCGATCATTTGATCACGGGATAGATGGCTAAGTTTTAAGTCACCTGTCTATACCCTCTGGTAAACTAACAGTTTGCTATGGAAAGTCACAAATTCTTTAAAACTGTAGAGGTTGATGATTGAACTAAATGTGCCATGGCTTTCATACCAAAGGGTAATTGGAAACCAACATAGCGAATTACTTACCATCGCCAAAGAAGATGCCTTAGATACGTCATGATAAGTCTGTCTAGGGCGTAAAACCATGTAAAACCATCATTTCTGAGGCTTGGTTGGTCATTTTCGGATCTAACAATGAGATTCTACACGTCACCCTTCTTTCTGGTTCAAAGAAAAACCTGAGCTCCCATCGCAAATGGGTTAGCTTCCCCATTTCGGGGGCTATTTGAATCCATATATTTTCCCCCGTGACGGCTCCCAATCTGCAATTGCCTCCTGACAGTTCAACCAACCGCAGAAAGGCGAGCCTCGCGGCTATCCACAGGATTTCATCACACAGCACATTCATGTTAGGCATCTTTCATCTTATATATATATATATTTATATTGTTATTCGAATATTGGATATATTGGCTATAATATATTTATATCTGATTATTGGAATATTGGATATATTGGCTGTAAATATTGGATATAAATGTTGGATATAAAATGCTACAAATTTATTCTAATGCAATGACTTTATGCAGAAATCATAATCCCTGGATCTCCACCTTGCCCTTCCCTGCCAAGTGGCATCAGTGTCGACTTGCCTGAGCCGGTACGCCCCACCAAGCCCACGCGTTGCCCAGGACTGATGCTGAAGGAGACACCGCGCAGCACCTGATTCAAAATGCTGGGGAGATAAGACTATATATGGCATCTATGGGATTTCAGCTATGCACACACAAAATTTACACACACATATACATATTACATATGTGTATATATATATATATACATATTGATGCATACAGAACTATATATTATGTAATCATAAATGATTAATTAATCTTACCTTCTGGTTATTTAACATAGCCATGGAAATCACCATTTTAAAATATGTTTAATAGGTAAACCATCTATTTCTATGGGCCATCTATACCATGGCTATGTTAAACAACCAAAGGCTAATATGGGACTTGATCAGCGCAACATTCCTTGGGATTTGATCAAAGCTTCGCTGGATGAAACTCAGATCATCTGGGCCATCGTTCAGCTGTAGATATATGTTTTGCTGTCAGACTTGCAAGATCTTGCAAATGTAGGACATTGAAAGGAAGGTACAAAAGATCCTTTAATTTCCTTTTAGCCTCTAGAAAACAAACAATTTTGCCCTCACCAGCATCTTATTCTTCCCATGGGCCACCCAAATTCTCCGTAAGTTCTGACGGAATCTTCAGCAAGAATCCGAAAGAATCATTCTGTTCCGTGACGTTTCCAGTCTCCCTGCGAAACATCAGAAATGCTGCGCTACATTTAGTTCAACTTTCACTTTCAACAAACATCCAGCCCCCTTTTTTTGGACATCCAGCTGCTCCAATGCTTCGCAGGTGCCAAGGGGAGGTGGGGTCGATATCTCAGCTGCACATTTTCGAAGACCACTTTGCCTTTGCTGGGCCAAGCTGTGATCTTCGCCTAGCCAGATCCATGGGTAAAACTGTGGGCCAATTCTGGCATCGCACAGAAAACGACAAAGGAAACGTATATATATATATATATGTATATACACAATCCACGAAGATATCTTTTGTGTTTTTTTTCTCGGGCCTAAACTATATATAAACATATATATATATATATATAATTAAACTCTTTTTGATCCAAATACCCGAATCTTCAAGTGTTGTTAGGCATCTTCGTGCAATTTTTTGCCGAGAATCACCCAAGAGTTGGTTGCAAAAGTAGCTTTTCTTGCCTCCTTGGAGGCCTCCTGCTGGACGTTCTTGAAGTGTTGCCTCAACGGAAAAACGCTGAAAGAACAAAAATACACAACCTGAAAACGAAACATTCAGAATCAACCGGCTAGATATATAGTTGGATATAGTTGGATATATGATATATAGTGGAATACTGTTGGATATAATATGATATAATTAATGGAAAACACATCGAATAACATGGGATCTAATGGGAATTATTTAACACTCACATGCAGGAGGTTGGAAAATTGCATAAGATGTCCGTTCCTGGGCCCCTTATTAATCTCCATTCTTCGTGCAGCTTAGATACCCCTCACGGATATCCTTTTAAAATGTTGGCCGCTAATTGATATCCATGTGCAACACCGAAGATGTGTGTAACGAACTTGGGACGGTTATATAGTTACCTGGATATACCATCTGGTAATTTAACGTAGCTATTGAAAATGGACCATTTATCGTTGATTTACCTACTATATAAACATGGTGATGTTCCATAGCATATAGCTATGCTAGTTTACCAGAGGGTAACTTGAGAAGCTTGACTCTGGCGCTTGCCAGCAGCAACTGCCAAGCCGCAGGCGCTCGACTGAGGTGAAGTTGCTCTCCACATCAGCGGAGGTCTTCACGGTCCTTACCGCAAAACAACTGACCACATAGGCGGCCATCTTCAAAACCTGCCATTCCATTCGACTCGTTGGTTTCTATGGGGCTATTCCCATAATTCCTAATACATTCGATGATATGATACTATAATCATGTATTAGGAATTATGGGAATACCACCATAGAAACAGTATATTCCTATAATAAAATAATTCCTATAATAATATATATTCCCCGGACAATCGTCAATCAACAGTGGTTTTGAGCTCCATGGCTCAATTGCCAAGAATCAAATGGAGCCGACCCACAAGCCCGGCAGAGGCTGAGAGAGCGAGTCCAGCCAAAGAGGCATCCAGCTGATGGTGGAACAAAATCACCTGTGACGTGCCACGGACGCTGATGGTGGATCTGGCGCCTTCAAGAAGTTTCAATCGATTCCAAACAAATTATATATATATAACAGATAATATTTTGATATAACACGATATATATAGCATGATTTGCCTCGGAGGGCTTGGAAATTGAACATGATTTTTCAATCATCAGTATCAAATGAGGGACATTCTGGATATTGTTTGGGAAACGTGGAGGAGCCATAGGTTGAGTTGCTGCCATTGATGGTTGATGATCTTTGACTTGACAAACTAGCATAATCAAACCAAGGTCATATAATGTCATGTACCATCTGGTTATTTAACATAGCCATGGAAAATGGCCCGTTTATAGATGGTTTACCTATTAAAAATGGTGATTTTCCATGGCTGTGTTAAATAACCAGATGGTACCATAATCAAACCAAGGTCATATAATGTCATATATCAGTATGCGAGGAGATATGTAGAGCATGTACTTAAAATTCTACAAATGAATCCGCACATGGCACTAGATCTTTACGGAACAAGTCTACAGAAAGCCATTTTTACCCCATCATCATATCGCAAAACCATCCCGCAAGATACCATCCGGCCATGTCCAGTGGGGTATCAAGCCGGATATTCTCTCCCAAGCCCATGTTGTGGACTCAGCCAAAAAAGGTGCGGGCTCTCCTCTGGCAATCCAATGTGGCAATATGAGATAACATTAACTGGTTGGTGGTTTTAACCATCTTGAAAAATATTAGTCAATGGAAGGATGACAACCCATATATTATGGAAAATAAAAAAGTTCCCTCTGAGCGCACCGTTGCCGAACTGGGTCTCGCAGAAACGGCCGTCAGGTGCGGCTCTAAACTCCTCTCATGGTATCAAGCGATCCACCTGCTCCCGTAGCCGGTTTGTCCAAATGACGACTCAAAATTCCTTCAACAGCTTCAAATTCATGCTGGGACATGTGAAACCCAACAGACCCCTTGAAGCACAACACCCATTGGCTAAACGGTCGCACCGTGCCGCAGCAGTACCGCACTTTGGCATCCTTTAAGTACTGCTGCAGCATCAGCGGAAATACTTGATTCGGATCGGTAAACGGACGTGGTTCGCCAGCGAAGCTAAGCTACCGGACTCTGCTGACCACTTGCCATCCCGTTTTAGGATGTTCCAAGGTCCTCGCAAACGCTGAAAACTGAGAAAGAGGTGCAGGTAGGAAATCCATCGAATTGGTTGAGTCTCATCACGGATGTGCACTAGCCAGCTATGTACATCGGATGCAAGATGGACACCGAAGGACCGAGTGAAAGTTGGTCTCTGGAGGACCAAGTTGCACGGATCTTCCCACACAAGCTCTGGTTGCTTTCTTCCGACACGGACAGGTCTGGCGGCTGCAGGGACTGACGCAGGCTGGACATTGACCGACTGGACCCAAAGTTTACTGACGGCTAATATGTGAGATCTAACCCAAACCCCTTGATTACGAGAAAGAAAAACTTGATCAACATAGGCTGACCACAGGCTCCACACTTCGGCAGGACGATGGCGATTGGCGGCTTGGGCTGCGGTGTCAACTGCATTGTTTCCATCGACAAGCCAACGATCAAGGTCATTCTCGAAATCAAGGCGGCTCTCGTGTGCTGGGACTTTCAAAAGGGCGATCTTGTCCTCTCCGAGGCGAGAGACCAACACTCGCAACTGATAGAGAAGGTCACTGTGTTTGCCATTGGGTTTAATGGGTCTACCTTCAGTAATGAGCTTCCTGTAGACCTTCAACACGCTCTGACAGTCAGTCCAAATGCGAACGTAGGCATGAGTTTGGATGGCATATTCCAAGGCTGCAAGAACTGCTGTAAGTTCGGCAGTGAGCATTGGAGAAAGTTAAAAGGACCCAAATCATCGCATGCCACTGCGTTTGCCTGTACTTCAAAACCAATGCGATGCAACCTTTGGCACAAGATCTCAGACAAGGAATTGAACGAAGGTCGCTCTGAGTCAAAAATGGCACAGTTAAGGCCCAATTCCACGGCACTGGCATCACCAAGGCTGCGAGCATCTCGCAGGGTTTCAACTGCAGCAAAAACCAATGGGTCAAACATGGCACCTTCAAGGCTACATTGCAGGGTTGGATTAGCTCCAGGTTTCTGAAGTTTCAACGCTTGCATGACATTGGTACGCAAAGCTTCGAAGTGTTTCTTGCCAATGACAACCGCTGATACTGCATGAAAAGCACGGGGCCATGCGACACGTTGAACCAAGATGACTTTCTGCCGGAACGTGCATGGGCTGGAACCAAGCTTTCTCCAAAAATCTTCAAGCTGTCGAAAACGTTCCAAAGCATGAAAATTGGATATCTGCTCAGAAAAGACCACATGGGCTCCAAGCTCACGGTTTTTCAGCTTCACTGTAAACCCTTCTGCACGCAGTTGAACTCGCCCAGCTCGGTCTGAGGCCCAGCAATACGACTTGGCTGGATCCAAGTCAAGACTGAGAGCTGCTGCAAACCTGTCCACCGCATCGCAAGCTTGTGACATGTAGTCAACTGACCTCAAAAGCACTCCCCAGTTGTCAACATAGGAAATAGGTTTGAACATGGCATTAGCCGCGATCATCCATCTGTGAAAAAGCTGTGTGAGCCCCATCATCGCCAAACAAGATAAAGCACAACCCTCTGGAAACCCATTGCATGACGTAACTCCAGGAGAGTAACTGCCCTGAATGACAAAGTGTCTCACAAAACCTGACAGCGCTCCCGCCCAAGCAAGCAGTGTACCATGGTCGACCCCCATCAGTTTGACCGCTGCCAGCGCTGGTTTCCGTGGCAGAATGTTGAATGCCTTCACCAAATCGGCCGACAGGCCGCAGACTTGATCGGCACCAAGATGAGCCTGCTCGATTTGTTCCAAGATGTACCTCCAAACATGTGCTGCACGTCCACCAACCGTGTTACCACAAAGGAAGGGATCAACAATAGAACTTACTGCCTTCAGCCAATGTCGAGCCATGATTGAAGACCAAGTCCTGTAGAGGTTGGAAAAGACAGTAATTGGTCGGAAACGACCAACCTCATGGGGATCGGCGACCTTTGCTAACGAGCGAACATACCCGCACAAAACTTGCTTTGGCCAACGGCCGCATGTAGTTGCCTGCTGGAAAACGCGCAACAGCAAAGTCCAGTCTGACGGGTCCAAGGCCAAAAGGTCACTTCGGCTGACCCCATCCAAGCTTGTCGCTGCATGTTTGGATTTGCGTTTCAGAGTCTGAACCACCAAGTCGATTGAAAGGTCAGGTGGGGTAACTGAAACAGGTCGGATTTGGCTTTGTGCAAACTGGATGATCTGATCCCATTGGCTTTCAGGCACATCTTGATGCCTGTTCCACAGGCGAGACCATTGGGCTTCAAATGCATGAAAAAGATCTTCCAAGCGGCCGACTGGTTTCTGCTGGGTCAAAACGTCACCTGGTTGAAGGGAACCACATGTGTCGAGCCACAGCTTATCAGTTTCATGGTGGATGACTGTCAGCGGTTGCCCTTGGTGCATGATGGGTATGTCAGGTACCCAAGCCATGTCTTTTGAAGTTATTACCGCACTTTCATGTTGGTCAACCTCAGAAACCACTGCGGTCTGTGTCAAAGCAAGGGAGTCAACTTGGGCAGGAACATCCCTTCGAACGGTCTTGTACATGGCCTGGATGTCAGATGCTTTGTGGAGTCTGTTGGCATGGGATCTGGCTGCATTCAATGAGTGTTCCAACTGCGTCAATTCCAAATCCATACCCGCATAGAACAACGCAGCACAGGCATGAACAGGGGGCATCTCTGGCACATTTGGTGGTTCCCCAACGCCAAGGTTTCGGTCAGTCCACCATTGAGCAAAATTCGGCTGGAACCCCCTGGCAAGTCGGATGGAAGTCCACAGTTGGAGGAGGTGCACACGGTGTTCCGGTGTGACAGGACCAGACCGACTCAGACGGACGTAAGACTGAAGACGGCGAAGCTGCTTTGTCCACTGGGCATGTTGGAGGCAAGAACCTAAAAACGCAGGCTGTCTGTCCCCTGGGCGGCTGGTTTTGATGGGCGCCATGTTACTGAATCGCTGGGTAGGTTTAAGTTGGGAGGCCCTACCAGTCATGGATCGAACAACAGGCTTCCTGGCAGCAACGCGGGCAGACATGTTGTTTTGCTCAACCTCCTTCCAAAACTGCTGATAGTCATCAGTCAAACGGTCAGGCACCCGGAAAAGATCACACTGGAGTGGCTTGCGTTGAGACAGTGGTTCCCATTCCATTGGATCAGGGAGGGGCCAAGCAAACCGACACAGCTCATCAGTACCACCTCGGAACCGACCCACAAGGTTGGAGTGATCTGCAACAGGTCATCATCAACTTTGCACTCCAGGAACAATGCAGCACGTTCACGGGACACCAGCATGAAGTCACGTCGGGTCTTCCCACGGCAAGTGGCGACCGGCAAACGGCCAGAACGCTCGGCTTCAAGGTCTTGCAGGTCACGATAGCCAAGTCGGGTCAGGACAGATACCGTGGCAAGTTGATCCAAGTCATGGTTGAAATCTCCTGCTATGTACCGTGGGCCTGGTTGCTGCTCTATCCGTTCCAGTGCTTGGGCAAGAAGTTGGTTGGTCACTTCCTTGCCATTGGGATGAGTTGGGCCAGTGGGAGTGCCATACACTTGAACACCAGAAACCCAGATTCCATGAGCACAAAAGGAAGTGCAGAGCAAACGGCCAGAATGATATGCACCGACAGACCAGTCATGAGGTAGTCTGCGGACAGGGAACGTGGCCATGATACCAACACCAGACCATTGCCCAATGTCGCTTGTTTCGGACCTGGGGGCAACAGGACATCCGTGTTGGAACGCACGGTAGTTCTGGTTGACACTGCGGACATTTCCCCAAAAGGTTTTCAAGCCAGGCAGGGTAAGATGGGTTTCAGAGAACAACCAAACATCATAGCTGCTGTCGGCAAATCCAAAAGCTTTACCATTCAGTCCATTGAAGTTGGCCACTGAGACAGTCCAGTCAGGTCCAGGTTTCTTGGCTTCTCCAATGCGGCAAGCTAAGACAAGGAAAGCCCACAAGAACCATGCACGCCCAAAAGGAGACTGACGAGGCAAAGAGACCGTACGGAAGGGAGGACAGGATGTAGGAGCATCCACATCGGAACGCAAGTCCATAGCAGCCACCGATCCCCGGGGTTCATTGCGTGGAAAGGTGAGCGAAGTCCAGAGCAGTGAGCCAAACACAGCACGACGACAAACAATGACAAAGTGGAGGCAAATCCAAAGAATCCAAAAGGCGAAACCCAGAACACCACACCAATGCCCCAACGAAAGACAAAACGCCGTAAGCAAGAAAATCCAATTGGCCAAATCCAATGGAGGTTGGTGTATTGGGCCACTACCCTCACGGGAAATGAGGGCGTGGCGACACCATCATTCAGTTCGATGTTTCTTGGCAAGCAACGCTTCGATCTGCTGCATTTGGGTGGCAAACAGGGCTTGCATATGCTGGCCTTGGCTGTCGAGCTGATGGGTCACTTGGGTTTGAAGAGTGGCCAATTGGCTGTCCGCTCGCATTGCATTGTCATCAATTTTGGATTCGAGGGCTTGCTGATTCATTGTGAG